GATGACCAATCACTTACATGGTCCAAAGTCAAGGGGCCTAAGTATGGCTGAACCCCTCTGAGCCCTTCCCATTCGGCCACACTGCTTGTCACCTCTAACCCCACTGTGTTACAAGGACCCCTCCAGTCAGAGTGAATTCGGTCCTATACCAGGACTCCTTTAACAACAAGAGAGAGCCATCCCACCTTCCCCTGATCTCCTCTCTCATGTCACATATCTTTGTCTCTCCTAGTTGTTCCTCATATTTCATTTACTGTCCCTTCAGCATCCTGGTTTATATTTTCAGGAGTAAAAATACAGAAGAGAAGCTCAGGCTCTAGAAACAAAATACCTGAGTTCAAATCCTGGCTCAGCCACTTCCTGGCTGTGTGACCGTGGGCAAGTCACTCAACCTCTCATGACTTCTTCCCTTGCTATCACAATGAGGATACTTTAGTAATAGCCACTTTATAAGAGGGGTTGTGATCAAATTGGCAATGAATAGAAATGAACATAAAATTCACAGAATGGTGCCAGGCACTTGGTAAACGTGACTGAGGTTAGCTACGGTCAGAACTATCCCCATCCCAGTCACCATCGCCTTCTCGGAAGGCAAAGCATCCTTCTGAGGTCATCCTGCGGGACGTGGAGAAAGCCAAGGCTGGGTAACCTCAGACACCAGGAACTACTCATCAGACAAGAAACCCATGAGACATGCTGGAGTCACCTGGGAACCACAAATTAGCCTAGGCAGCTGGCCAGGTCAGCATTCTGTCATCCAGTGACCAGGCCCCCATGCAATTCCATCACACCTCATCTGCAGGGACGCCTCCTTCCTCCGCAACCATCTTCCTCAGGGAGGCCACTGTGCTGAGGATCGGCACAGCCAGGCCAACCCGCAGGAACCGCTGGCTCTTACAGAGGAAGACCAAGGTGACACTCAAGAACCTGGAAAATAGGAATGAGCCACATGGTTAAAGAACGGACAGGGCACAGTTTGGTTCCTTGTTGGGTCCCTGCACTTTAGGTATACTGCCACCAGGTGGCAGCAGAGAGCCAAATCTCTTTAAACTGCTTTTTCAAAGAGTTAAAAAATGAAACAGTTTGGGATGAAGAAACACTTCACTACTCTAATGGTTAATAAATAAAATGAAGCAAAAATAAATTGTAAAGTTTGTAAAGCAACCAATCTGCTTCTAGTACAAATCAACCCTATTAATGATTCTCTCCTTTTCATTTTTTTTTTTTTTTTCCTGGTACTAGGGATCAAACCCACCGTGCTTACTGCGGTACATTCCCAGTCCTGGCTTTTTATTTTGAGACAGGATTTTTGCTAAGTCACTGAACATCTCCCTAAAGATGCTGGGGCTGGCCTCAAACTTGTGATCCTCCTGCCTCAACCTCCAGAGTCACTGGGATTACTGGTGTGCACCACAGCACCTGGCTGATTCTCACCTTTATAAATTAAATTTACCCTGGGAAATATTTGCTTCCACTTCCCACTCTCCCTGCTGATTTACCAAGGGCCATTTTCCTGACTGACGTTTCTCCTATCCTATCCTATTCTGTAGTAGTGGCCCAAGTCCCATAGCTAGTTAGTAGGGCTTAGCCTTGAACCTAGGCAGCCTCAGAGGCCACAGTCTCAGCCCTGGGCTATGCTGCATCAGGCCAGGAGTTTTAGGGCCCTATCTAATGGTAGCATAAGTCATGACACAGCATAAGTCAGTAGTTAACATTTGTGACACACAGCACAGGAGATCGGAGCAGAAACAGAGGTTAACCTGGGAAAGATTTATGAAGGTGTGTCTGCAGCTACATCCTACAGATGCAGAAATGTCAATAGGTAAAGGGCAGGAGAAACGATATTTAAGGAGGTGGGGAACACAATGAAGAAATGTGTCCATCTCAGTGGCTCCCAACCTTCAAGCTCACGAATATTCCATGACACTGACATGGGCCAGGTGACTTCCTGGCCACTGCTGGGATGGCCTTCTGTATAGCAGGCTGCAGAGCCCTGAAGCCTTTCTCCATCCCAGCCCCTGCTTCCCTTTATCTCATCTCCCCTCTTCCTCTTTCCTTGCTCCTTTAAGAAATCATTTCTCTACAACTTCACAAAGAAGAAAAAACACTTTGAAAATAAAAACAAAGGGAATCCGTAGTGACTGATTTGCTCTGACCTGCTCCTGTCTGACCAGGGGCCAGCTTCTCAATGGGACACAGGCCTGGTGCCCACACACACAGTGTTATAGTGTTCATTATTCCCTCCTCTGCTAAGGAAGGGATGTAACTTTGTCCCATTTCATAACTGATGGCCACGTGGCTACAAGACTGGCTTCTAGAGAAACTCTGAGTTTTGTTTTTGTTTTTTTTGTTTTGTTTTGGAAGCAAAAGGAAGAAAAAAAAAAAACATGGCGGACTCATATCTCACATACCTCGTCTGGCGCAAGGGGATGGGAAGGGACACACACAGGAAAGGATCAAAGGTGTTGCTCTGTTTCAGGCAGTGGGGGCAGGTCAAGGAAGATCTGTGAGGGCAAAGAACAGAGAGCCAAGTGTGAACACGCAAACAGTTGGGTGGCCCCTTGAAAAGTTCAACATAAAATTCCCATTGCCCCTCCACTCCCAGCAATTCCACTCTGGAAGAACTGGAAACAGGCATTTAATGGATCCTTGTACATAAATGTTCCTAATGGTCCTGCTGCCCCCAAGAGCCAAGAGGTAGAAATAACACAACTGTCCATCAACAGATAAGTGGCCAAGCAGAATGTAGTGTAAGCACGCCGTGAAATATCACTCAGCCATAAAAAGGAGTCAGTCCTGATATAACGTGGGTGAGCCTTGAGAAAATGATGCTAAGTGCTCAGAAAAGTCTCAGATGCAGCCAGGTGCAGTGGCACGTGCCTGAAACCCCAGCAGCTCAGGAGGCTGAGACAGGAAAATCGCGAGTTCAAAACCGGCCTCAGCAAAAGCCAGGTGGTGAGCAACTCAGTGAGACCTTGTGTCTAAATAAAATACAAAATAGGGCTGGGGATGTGGTTCAGTGGTGCAGTGCCCCTGAGTTCAATCCCTGGTAACATACACACACACACAAAAAAAAAATCTCAGATGCAAAAGGCCACATTATGTATGATTCCATTTATAGGAAATATCCAGATCAGGTTAAGCCACAGAGACAGAAAGCAAATTGGTGGTCATCAGGGGTTGCAGAAGGGAGAATGGAGCATGGCTGCTGACTGGGTAGCAGAACTTTTTTTTTCTGGGTGATAAAAATGTTTAGGAACTACACAGAAGTAGTAGTTGCATGGTGAATGTAATGTAAGGCCACCGAATGGTACATGTTTAACATCACTTTAAAAGAAAAGTAAAATGGTCTATTTTTATAGCAAAGGACTTTTACCCCAATAAAAAAGAAAAGAAGAAAGCTTAACCACATGTTAGTGCATTAAAATGGGGACGGGCCCTATAACCCCTCTGGATAGTAACAGCATGCCAGTTTTCAAACTGAAGGGCTCTCAGGACCATCTTTGCCCCTGCGTCTCACCTTCCTGGGTCCCAGGATTATATAGGCAACTTTTTAAATATTTGGATGCCCAGGCCCTACCCCAAAGAGGTTCTATTTCAAAGCAGATGGGGAGGGGGCCCAGACATCAGAATTTTAAAAGTTCCCTAAATGACTCTAGTGCTCACCTGGAATGGCCATTGATGTATTCTGCCCTCATTATTATACAGAGCAAGAAGCAATAAAGCTCAGGAAACACCGGCAAATTGTAACAGTTGACATTGAAATGACATTTACTAGGAACTGGGCATCCCTCTAAGCATCAAGCACATATTACCCCACGTAGTTCCCATCAACAGTCAGCATTTCACCCATTTTACAGAAGAGAAAACTGAAGCACAGAGAGGTTAAGTAGCTTGTCAAAGGACACACCACTCTGAAGTTCCAAAGTGAGGCTCCATTTCTGTGCTCCTCATCATTCCTGAATTCTTGAGTATAAATGAGTAAGGAATTGCTTACTTCGGAGTAGATATTTATATATTTATATTCTTTCAACTCCACCTTTAACACTTCCTTACTTCAACATGAACCACTGAAAAGTGAAGCACAATTTTATATTCCACATGGGTGCACGAATTTGATTTCCCTGACTGTATAATTCACCATATTATTCCAAGATACAAGGGGTTTCCGCACACTCTGCTCCTTATCCTAAAATCTGCATGAACTTCGTTGGGGATACAGAAGGATGCCCTCCCTCCCCAGTAGCCTGACTCTGTGTTCTTTGCTCTGGACAGTCTCGCCTGGGTTAAGTCAGCAGGTAAGCTGGAGCAGGTTTCAGGACCAGGCTTCCTGAGTCCCTTTGGAAAGTGCTGGTCCTGCTCAATTGGTTTTCCACTGAGCAGACAAAAACAGGAAAACCCAGAGGCAAGCAAGAATGCAAACCTGGGGTTGCCACCCAAGGAGAACCTGAGGCCTCTGCTCACGGTGAAGTGAATCTTTCAGATGTCAATTAACAGAATGAACACAAGTTATCAGAAGGTCAACAAGTGATTTTAGGAAACAAGACTTCCAGCGGTTTGGGAAATATTTTGGTTGTATCATGAGGAATTTTGGGTGAGTGTTTTGCTTTGTTTTTTGTTTTGTTGTTTTCTAGTTCTGGGGGCTTGAACTCAGGACCTTGTACATGCTAGGCAAGCGCTTGACCACTGAGCTACCTCCCTGGCCCCCATTGTTTTATGTTTGATCTAATATCCCTACTCACTGCCTCTGGCAAATTTCCCCTTGGAGAACCATGGTAGTGTTTTGGTAAAAGCAGCATAAAAACCACAGTCAGGACTTGGCAATCCTGGGGTCTGCTCTGTAGCTGCCCTTTCCCCTCCCAGTCCCCCTCCCCTTTCCCTTATTACCTAGGGAGATATAAAATTGTCCTGAAGGATGTACTTTTGTCTTTGGGGAATTTCCAAATCTCCATTTCACATTTATGCAAACAAAGAGAGTATTTTTTGTTGACTTCTTCATTTTTTCAGCCTATTTCAACTAAGCTGGGCTGCATTTTTTTTTTTTTCTCCTTAGAGTTACATCATATTAAACCGGGCCAGGGATATGACCTTTACATTGAGCCCCAAATGTGTATCAGGGAGTAAGAGATGTATAGTTTGCAGAAAATTCAGAATGGGCTAATATTATTTTATTCATGCGTTCATTCATCCTGTAGTGCTGGAAATAGGACCCAGGAACCCCGCACATGTTAACCCAATGCCCTATGACACTGAACGACATCCCCTTTAAATACTAACTGGGGATGTCGCTTCAATGTTAAAGTGCATTATTGAAAATATGATATTGTTTTCAAAATAAACTATAGAAAGAATAGGAAATACACCCGTTCCACCAAAGTGGAGAAATGAGGATAGGAAATGTGACCAATAGATCTGACATAAGGCCACTTCACTCTTACAGAAAGCTCTGGCTATGGGAACAGGCTGTTGTGATACCCCAAATGTGGCCTGAGAGGTCCTTTCCCTCTCCCTACCTCCTCCAGAGCTCTTGCTATCCTGTCCTGTTAAACCCTGGGCTCTCTTAAAAGAAGGGGACAGAAAACCATCCCAACTGCCTTTCCATGTTCAGGGACCCAATTCCCCTATGATATTCATTGTCCTTGTCAAATTGTTTCAAAAACATACTCTGCCTCGTTGGGCAGGGTGACACACACCTGTAATCCCAGTTACGAGAGACTTAGGCAGGAGGATGGCAAGTTTCAGACCAGCCCCAGCCACTTAGTGAGTTCAAAGGGCTGGGAACGTAGCTCAGTGGGCGAGCAACCCTGGGTTCAATCCTCAGTGCCAAAAATCAATTAATTAAATTAAAAACATACTCTGCCTAAAAGGAAATGTTGTCTGAAATGGGAACAACAGATTAGACTTTCTGAAAATCAAGTCTAGGAATGACAGGAAGAATTTGGAAGAGACACACACACACACACACACACACACACACACACAATCTCTGCTCAAGCCAAAACTCCAACATCACAACAACATTTTTCCTAAAACCCATAATCTCCAGCACCTAATACTATTCCCTCTTCTCTCCTTCAGCCTCAAAAAAAAAAAAAGACCCTTAAAAAGAGCTTCAGAGGGGGATGGGGTTATGGCTCAATGGTAGAGCACTCGCCTGGCACATGCGAGACCCTGGATTCGATCCTCAGCACCACATAAAAATAAATAAGTGAAATAAGGGTGTTGTGTCCAAATACAACTAAAAAACTAAAATATCTTTTTAAAAAGGGTTAAAAAAAAAAAAAAGCTTCAGAGGGCTGGGGATGTAGCTCAGTGGTAGAGTGTTTGCCTAGCATACATGAGGGCCTGGAGGAGAGCCCCAATATATTTAAAAAAAAAAAAAAAGTTTAATGGGAAATGGAAGAGGGAGAACCTCAGTGTGCAGAGGCCTGTGAATTACTCCATAGTTTCACATCCATTCCCGATTTCACGCAATTCCATAAGGAAGGTTGATACCATCCAGGCATGCCCTTCTGCATGGAAACAGACAAAGGACAGCAAGTGCCAACCCTCCCAGGCCACCAGCTGTCCCCACCCCACTGCTGCAGAAAGTCATTTTCCTGCACCCTGAAAGCCGTCACCTGGATGGGGTTTCTAATGACACTTTACTACAGATGCTCAGGCACCAAGCAAGTATTTTTAGCGGTCACCAGTCCATTTTTAGCATCAATGCCTGACGTCTTACTCATCATCCTACAGGGGAGGACTCTACTGAAGACAGCGCTACTCCTTAATATCTGATCAGCTCAATGTCCCTCGCTCAGGTATCTCCCGACTCACCCACACCAAGGCAGGCACTGGAGACAATGTACTGGAAGACACCCTCCTCAGCGATCACCAGGTAAGAGTTCAAAAAAAGCCCTGGAGTCACCCTACGATCTCATCTTTCCCTCAGTCCCTTCACCCCTAGCCCTAAGTCCACTAGCAAGCCTTGGTGACAATGTCCAAAACATACCCCAAATCCAGCCATTTCCCTCCATCTCCATGCTACCTTCATGGTTCCAGGCACTGTTATCCCCCACTGTGATGACTATGTAGCAACATCAAATTCCACTTCCACTGTCACGTCCCTCCACTGCCATGACAACCGGGTCATCTCCTAAAATGTAGAGCTAGAACACACCCTGCTTTAACCTCTGCAGCAGCTTCCTGTGTTCCCCAGCCGACCTCCACCATGGCCTGCAGGGTACTGAGGACTGAACCCAGGGGTCTTCTATCACTGAGTTACATCCCCAACCCCTTTTATTTTTTGATTTTAGAGCAGGTCTCTCTCTAAGCTGCTGAACATCTCACTAAGTTGCTGAGGCTATCCTCAAACGTGGGATCCTCCTGCCTCGGCCTCCTAAGGAGCTGGGATTACAGATATGCACCACCACACCTGGCTTCCTGTGTCCTTCTGACTGAAACTCACACATGGACTAAAAAACCTGCCTTACCAGGCCCTGGCCCACCTCCCTGGCCCCGTCTCCTGCTCTCTCACCACCTGGCAGTCATATTAGCCTTCCCATCTCTTGAACTTGCCGAGATCAGCCCCTTGGCCTTCGCCTCTGTCTGGAGTGCCCCGTCCCTGGTTACTTGAATGGTGAACTCCTTTTACCCAAGGCTTGGCTCAAATGTTCCTCTGAAAACAAGCTTTGATGATCACCTATCTATGCTGGCTGCCTCCCCACTTCCCAGGTTGCTCCCTCTCATTCTCTGAGCCCCAGCTCAGGTTGTTGGTTGACTGGTGTATTGTCTCCTGTGCCCCCAGCAGAATGTGAGCTCCATGGGAACAGGGGCTGGGCATTGTTCGCAGCACCTCGCACAGAACCAGGCACATGGTAGGGCACAAACTAAATATCTAGAGAATGGGAAGAGCTGTTCCACATATCCTCAGGATTGGTCCCAGGACCCCACTACAGATACCAAATTCTGTGCATGTCCCTGTCCCTCACATAAGAGGGAATAATATTTGCACAGAACCTACACATCCTCCCACAGACTCTAAACCACCTCTAGATGGTTTATCACACCTAATACAATGTAAATGCTACGTAAAGAATTGTCCTACCAATTGATTAGGAAATAATGACAAGAACAATCTGTATATGTTCAATACAGATGCAATTTTTTCTCGGTACTGGTGATTGAACCCAGGGGTACTTTACCACTGAGCTGCATCCCCAACACCCCCTGCCATTTTTTTTGGGGGGGGGGAAGGATTAACAAAAGTTTCCAGGCCCTTTTATTTATTTATTTATTTATTTTACTTTGAGACAGGGTCTTGCTAGGTTGCCCAGACTGACCTCAAATTTGTGATCCTCTAGCCTCAGCCTCCCAAATAGCTGAGATTACAGGCATGCACCACCATTTGGCCAGAAGTGACTGTTTTCTAATATCTTTACCCTCGGTTGGTTGAGTATGCAAATACAGAAGCTGTGGATACAGAAAGTCAAACACACGCACAAATAGATATATGTATGTACATATATGTAAAAATATGTATATATGTGTATACACACAATGTACACATATGTGTGCATGCATACATGTGTGAGTTATATGTGTAGATATGTATTATATATATATATAGATATATATAGATATATACACTTGAACATTTAAAAGAAAGGGGAAAAAAAGTGCATACATAAACATGAGGAGAGAAGCATAGAGAAAACAAAGTGAAAAAATAACCAGGTTAATTTATGGCACAAGGACAGCAAGGAACGGGACACCGCCCCACTCTCTAATACGGCCTCTCCTTGGTCTCCCCCTTTCCCTCCTCGATGTCTTCTTCCTCTTCCTCTATTCTGTTTTTTCCTTCTGTCTCTTTATTTTTTGTTCCTGGCAACCTCTGCTTTGGATACCTGAGGATAAGACGGAGGCCCTGTCATGGCTAGGAGCTTTCAAGGTCGGCAGGCACAACATCTAGGTTTGCTCTCTGCATACCTCCCGGAGGATCACTCACCTCTCAGGGAAGAAGCTGGTCTTCCTTCAAGCCCAGCAAAGAAAGTCAGGCTCATTTAGAGGGAATTTTTGTTACCCAGTATTTCAGCATCCCAGGGCAGGAATGGAATGCCACCCCCTCTCCCCACCCCCTGGCACTCGGTGGCAGTGTCTTCAAGCTCCTCCTTCTCTGAGTCAGCAGAGAACCTCAACTTCTCACATGCTATGAGTCTGGGGTGCTCGAAAAGTGCTCTATTGACTCTTTGGCCTTTCTAAATACACAAGCACCCTCAAAGAGGGTGATCATATCTTACTGATCACTGCTTACGGAATGTAATTTAAATCCTAAAGCAGGACAGTTTCTGGGCAGTTTTAAGTGACCTCCACCTGATCACACACAAAGAATGCAATCCCCTGAAAGTACGGAAGGCAATGACTGCAGGTTGGGAGGTTCTACAAGATGGAGCGGGTGTCACCTTGTTTAAAGAAAAGTAATTAAAAGAAGAAAACCAACAGGACAGGGACTGCCAATCCAGAAGAATCCTGAGCAAAGCTCCACTTTGAAATGATTTATTGCAACCTCCAGAAGGGAAAAAATGTTGGAAGGTTTTGGTATCCACAATAGAAGACAAGACAGCCCCGCTTAGGTGCAGTTGGAGATCACAATGAACAATCAAGATGAGATGGAAAAGCAACGGAAGAGGAAGAATCACAAAGGGAGCGAAGGCAGGGCTCACACTTCAGGGAGTCACAGGACAGATGCTGGCTCTGCAACTCTGTGCAAAAAGCCCTACCTCCCAGATCTTAGCACTCACCTCCTGGAGTCTTATAGGATTACAGAAAAAGCCTATTTTACACATATGGGCATATTTACACTACACCAAAAGGGCTAATGGTAGAGCACTTGCCTAGCACGCATAAGGCCCTGGTTCAATTCCAGCATTGCAAGATAATAACATACCATATAAATGTAATAGCACATAATAATACATTATTTTATATATTCCATATATTATAAATATGCGATTATATTATGTAATCTAGCATATGCTGTATTTTATGACATATATTTCTTAGACTTTATCTAACTATCTGATAAATACTATTTTTTTCAATTATTTTTTAGTTGTAGTTGTACATAATACCTTTATTTTATTTATTTATTTTTATGTGGTGCTGAGGATCGAACCCAGGGCCTTGCACATGCGAGTCAAGCGCTCTACTACTGAGCCACAACCCCAGCCCAATACTATTACATATAAATATATGTTAAAAGCCAAATGCTGTGCACATGCCTGGAATCCCAGCAACTCGGAAGGCTGAGGCAGGAAGATCGCAAGTTCCAGGTTAGCCTGGGCAAGTTACCAAGTCTGTTTCAAAATAAGAAATAGGGCTGGGGTTGGTAAAGCACTAGCCTAGCATGTGTGAGGCACTGGGTTTGATTCTCAGCACTGCATATAAATAAAAATAAAGGTCCATTGACAACTAAAAAAAAAAAAGAAAGAAAGAAAACAGAAGTCTAGGCATCCACTTCTAAATAATTAAAAAAATAAAATTAAATAAAAATGGCTAGGGATATAACTCAATGGTAGAGTGTTTTTGGGTTCAATCCCCAGTATCCAAAAAAAATGTGTGTATATATAAAAATTATATTATATTAATATTTAAATTATATATCATGTATAAGGCCATGGTATGTGTGTATGTATTCATCTACACAACTTCTCGCCTTGTCTCTGTCGCGCTCTCTCTCTCTCTCTCTCTCTCTCTCTAAAAAAAAAGTTGATCTTGTAGCGGTTGAGAGTGGAAAGGAGGTCACCAGAAGCTGGGAGAGAAGGAAAGATGCAGAGATGGGGAAAGGTTGATTAGGTTGCTCAATGGCCACTTAGAGGGAGCCACATCTCTGGGGTGCTATTGCACAGTAGGGTGACGACAGATAACAAAAATCTGTACATTTCAAAAAGCCAAAAGAAAGGATTTTAAAAGTTTCCACCATAAAGAAATGATAAATGTTTGAGGAAATATGTTTAACGTGACTTAAAGACTGCACAGTGTTCACACATGAAAACATGATATGGTACACCCATTAATAGGCACACATTTATATATCAGTTAAGAATAAAGTTTAAGCATTGATATTTAAAAATAAATAAATGCACATGTGTGCTTACTCACAGACAAGCAAGCGTTTCACCCAAAGGTTTTCTGTAACTAATGGTTTCCCCTAAATCCTGATCACTGATGGTTTTCCCCTATATCCTGATTCTCACCTTTCAACCTGACTCATTCTTGTTGAATCTGCTCCCTCCCACTCACTGGATCCTATGCACCCTTCAGACCCCTCAACAGGCATGCTCCTTTGAGAACCCGGGGGCAGGGTGGGGGCCTCCTCTCTGACCTATCACAGCAATAAATGCTTTCACTAAATGCTGTGATACTTGGAGATTCTGCCTATGTCAAGTCTCTGTACTTTCATATAAAAATGCCCAGGAGCAACACATGCTTTTTGAAGTCAAAGGCTTGGCAATTTATCTGTTTTTATATTCTCCATAACACTGGCAACTCTTGAACTCAGAATGACTTGTTCAGCTGGGCTCTCTGGCCATAAAGAGCAAAGAGGAAGTCTCTCCCCAGCTTTGGGGTGATTGCTCACTAGTGATAGCCCAGCCTCCACATTCATCCTCTGCAGACTCACCCTCTATCACCCCTCCTTCAAGGGGAGGTAGAAGGCCTGGAAACTGGGAAGGAGGAAAAGAAGAAATACTACAGGTCAGAGACGACAGGAGTGAGTGGTTAATTGGGGGTTATCATAGGAAAGAGAAAGGTTTTTTTTATGGATTTTGTTACTTTGTCATCTCAGGGCCAATGGCCAGGGGACAGCAGTTACCAGCAAGTGTTCTGAGCCCTTGGATGATACATGACTGATCTTACCTGTATTGTGCTTGAAAGTGGCTTTGCACAAAGCTTTGGCCTAGAGAAAGCTGGGCGGATGAGGATAAGAAGTTCTCTGAGGGTTGACTGGCTTCAGGTGGCAGCTGAAAAGAAAGAAAGGACTTCAGATGAGAGGTCATATCCAGGACACCCGTCTTGTGACCGCTCCCAGAGCTCAGACCATCGCTCAATCCTGGGCCCACACTATCCCTTTCTGAGCCTCTTGGACTTCGATACTGCCTATGGCATCACTCAATGCTCTCCCAACCCCTCGAGCTCTCCAAATGCTTGAGAGAGCACGCTGCAGGTACCAGAGAAGCAAGACAGGAGCATGATCCTTGGCAAATGCTCACTCCTACCTGCCCGCCTCAACTCGTCCCTCAGGATGGACGGCCCCATTCTTTACCTCTGTCCTGCTGGGTCCTCACTGACTAGATGACCCTTGTACATTTCACCAGGGTGAGCGTCCATCACTCAAACACATCCACACCAAATCTCTCCCTAACCCACCTATTAAATGTGCCTGTCCACATTTTCTGGTGAGCCCGGTTCCATCTTTTGCAAAGGAAGCAGGCTTTGCATTTTGTGATTTGATACACAGCTTCCTTCCCTCCACATATACCATCCGTTCTCCTGTGAGCGTCTTTGGACGCCCTTGTGTATTAGTTTCCTGTAGCTGCTGTAACAAATTATCACAAACTGGTAGCTTCAAACAACAAATTTATTTTCTCACAGTTCTTAAGACTAGACCATCAAAATCAGCATGAATGGGCCAAAAATCAAGGTGTTGGCAGAGCTAGACTCCTTCCACACACTCCAAGGAGAATCCACTCCTTGCTTTTTTCCAACAATGGCCAGCTGCTAGAATTCCTTGGCTTATGGACATGTCACTCTGGTCTTTTTTGACTCTCTCTCAGCTTTGTCTTCTCTGTGTGTCTCTAATCGCGGCCTCTTTTCTAACTGATATTGCTTTAAAGGTCCATCTAGATAATCCAGGATAATCACTCATCTCAAGATCCTTAACTTAAACACCTCTGCAGAGTCTTTACTATATAAAATAATATTTAGAGGATGGATATATTTGGATCCGATATCCTTGGGGGTCATCTTCTCACTATCCAATCTTGGGGGCTTTTGCCTGCCCCAATGCCACCAACTTCCTCTGGACTCCTACCACTCCCAATAGGAATTACTCCAAGTTCCCAGTTTCTCTAAATTTGTTTTTAACCCCTTGCATTATTAGTCCCTACAACCCACGAAACACAATTACTCATGAAAGCCCTGCTATGTAAAATCACTGTCCTTGAAAGGTCTGTCCCTAAGGGCAATCCCAGAATCAAAGCCACTCATACTACAAAGCTAATTAGTAAGATATAAAATTAAACTACAAGAGCATCCAGAAGGCCACCGTAAAACATGCCCTAGATGAGTGTTTCCCGGCTGTTCATCACTGATCCCCTCAAGGAGTCTTGTTAGATTTTTTTCCTAATCGCCCCCCATCCCCCGGAAACCAGGAAGTCACAGGGAAACTGTGCAGGTGCCTATTTACTGTTTGAATATCTGAGCATAATTTTTGGTGCTTCTTGAGTGCTTGTGGGATATCCTCCCATAGAAGGGAAAAAAAAAAAACTGATTAGAAGAACAGGCGGTGAGTGGTAGAGGAAGACTTGGGTGGAATCTCAGATGACTGTCTTTGAAAGCTGAGGATGGAAGGAATACATGTGAACTATCTGGGGTAAAGTGTGCTGATGTGCACAGTTCACTTCAAAGTGCATCGGAAAATAAGCTAGAAAAGAAAGACGGGGAGAAGGGTGAACGTGTCATAAAGTAGATTTAATAAACATAAACTGCAGGTTCCCTGTAGTAGGTGTGAACGTTCACTGTATAATTAATCTGACATTTCCATGGTATGAAATTTTTCATAATAAACTATTAGAACAAATAAGTGACAAGCACTCAGGATGGTCACTCTTATTTGTCCCAATATTTCCTTATGGTCAGTTTGACCTAAAATACAGGAAGTACATAGGGAAGTAGAAAATGGCTGAGGAAAGAGTCGGGTGCCACATTTGGTGCCTTCAACATCCTGAGGAACTGTGCTTCTACTTCAGGAAATACCAAAGACCCCATTCAAGAATATTGACTCTGGATCTGGGTATCATGGTACATGCCTTGTATAGTCTCAGCTACTCAGGAGGCTGAGGCAGGAGGATCACCAAGTTGGAGATCCAGCTTAGCAAGGCTCTACACAACTCAGTGAGACCCTGTCTCAAAAAATTAAAAGGGCTGGGGATATAGCTCAGTGGTTTAAAAAAAAAAAAATACAAACTCAGGAGTCCGAATGGTGGATTCAAAATCCCTGCACTAGTATTTGGCTATCTGAGTTACTCAACATCTCTAATCCATTCTAAGTTACTCTTTATTTGCTCCATTTCATCCATTTTGGTAGAGCACTTGCCTAGCACGTGTGAGGCACTAGGTTCGATCCTCAGCACCACATAAAAATAAATAAATAAAGTTAAGATACTGCATCCATCTACAGCTAAATAATTAAAAAAAAAAAAAGTGAAGGGCATCCCAAGGTCTTTCACTCACTGGGGTCATTCTTCCAAGCCACAAATACCATCATGGGGACCCCTCTTTGTGACCTCATCTAATCTTTATTACCTTCCAAAGGCCCAACTTCCAAATCCACTAACATGAATTTGTGGATTAAGTTTCCAACACATGAACTTTTAGGGAAACACAAACTGGACCGCCTTTCCAACTGTAACAGGAGGGTCCTGATACCAATCTGACAGCTCTGTTTTGAGGCTTTAAAGAATATATATATTTTTTATTTACATGTTATTACTTACATATATTACTTACATGTACATCATACAACACACGCGCGCGCGCGCACACACACACACACACACACACACACACACACACACACACACACTGTGTAGGAGGTGGCTGGCACAATGTGGAGTCTCTGATGGGTTTTAACAGGTGCTTGGAGAGATGCTTTAACCTGACAGCCATTCCCAGGCAAGGAAGGCTCAGTTTGAGGACACGGGTTAAAAGGCTCAAGGGCGCAGGTAACAGCTAGGTCACCCAGAGCAGAAGCCATGAAGAGGAAAGAAAGGAGTGGCTTCAAGATGCCCCGTGAGCCCAGCTCATAACCCAGCACGGGAGCAGAGGGAGGAAGAGGAAGGGGATAAACACCATCAGCTCCCGGGTTCCAATGCAGCACCCCCTGGAGAATACCCACTCCATAAACAGGAAGTAGGAAAGCCAAGAGGAGAAGCAGGCTTGGGGGGGACACGTGGGGTGTGAGGGTAACTCAACCCCCAGGCAGAGACGTCTGGCTGCCAACAGATGTAGGCCCTGGAGGAGTGGTGCTGGGCCAGCATGAACACTGTAATGCTCTGGCTGCCTGGGGCTCTCTCCTCCATCTTCATTTGTAGCACCCCCTCTTGGGACCCTGAATCCAGTCCCTGCGTGAGGAGGGCTCTTCCATCAGGGGTCCTGCTCACCCCTACAAAGGAACGTGTCCATAGCCTAAGCTACTACACGGATGAGATGTTCCTGCCCTGGGCATGAATCATGGGTAAAGTGACCAATGGGCGGACCACGTTCCTTCTGGCAGCTGGGTCCAGGCTATTGAGACACCCTCACGGTCCCAGAGCCGTCTGATCCTTGACTGTTTCAAAGTTGTTTTCAGCCTGCTGTTTGTTCCTCTTGGGCCAACTCTTCAGTTCCCTCTTAGGGTCAGCTCAAATAGGCTGAGTTCTTTGCAACCAAAGAACTCAGAAGAGCACAGGATGCTTCCTCACAGGTGACAGTGGAAGACTTTGGGAGTGGCTGTGGATGGGATCAGCTAGGATGGGGGTCTGGAAAGAAAATCCCGAACAAGGCCAGGGTGAGAAGCAGGAACAGTCCTCCATGCAGCGTGGACCACGACGTCACGCTCCTGCTCTAGTCTTGGGTATCTCTCAAAGGTTCATTCTACACCGAGAAGAAATCACATCCCCTCGACATCATGCAGCTATGGTGAAAATCAAGAGACGGCATGTGTGCCCTTTGCCTAGCACGCAGTAGATGCTTAATACATGTTAGCTTGCCAGTTCTCTCCCCGGCCACATCACCTCCTTTATTCTACAAGAATGGCATTTTCTGGAAAACAGATGGCCACCATGATTTCTTATGTATTGCTGTTGATAGGGTAGTAAAAAAAAATATGCCTTTTGGAGAGGGTGAAAACACTTGAGAATTGTTCAAAGTAATGGAAAAGAAAGGGGTCCTTGTGTTTTCTATTCCAGTTACAAATACCTCTAGCTATATGGCTTTCCTATGTCCTCAAAACAAAAATAACTTCAAAAAGAAAAAGATCATTCAGACTTACACAGAGAACAGCAGCTTCCCTTCTCCAAAAGGGAAAAGTGAAGTTTCATGCCAGATCATCCCAACAGCTCTGCTGCTCTCGACCTTCAAGCAAACAGAGGCTGGCTTCCTTGGGCAGCCCTATTTCCGGAGAGCAAATTTCAGAACAGGCTTTTAAAAAAAAAAAAAAAAAAAGTCTTCTGGTTTCACTGGGTCAAAGTAAGGGCTGGATAAGCTCCTCTCTCTGACCAACAGCCACGCCCTGGTCCTGCCTGGGGAATGCCATGCTCCTAATACACTGGGCCCACTGAGGGACACAAAGCAGGGGACTGGGGGTGGAGTCTAGATTCTAAGTGCCATACAAAGCAGGGGAGTGACATGATCTCATTTCCTTCCTGAGGAGATCTGGCTGCATGATAGAGAATATGGGAGAGGGACGTATTGGAGTTGGGGGTGGGGATGGAGATGGTACTCAGTGGTGAGAGCACTTGCCCGGCAAGTATTGCCCCCGCATCTCCTTCATCCCAAAATAAGAAGAAAGTTGGGAGACCAAATATGTCTGCTTTTTTTTTTTTTGAAATCTTAAAGATATGGAGAGGAATTATTGGCAGGTCCTCTTGGGCTTAAATAAACTCAACAATATGTTAAAGACAGGTTGGGGACAGTGCACCCTTGTTAGGAACAGAAGTTCTAGGGCAGGGCTTCTCAACTGGTGACGAAGGTGATTTTGCCTCCTTGCAGGGGCACATCCAGCAATGTCTGGAGACAATTTTTTGGTTATTTTTATATTTATATTTATATTTTGTGTGCTGATGTGCACAATTCACTGGGGATTTACACTGGCATCTAGTGGGAAGAGACAGTACAAATGCTACCATGAACAGTCAGTCACACACTCCGACAAAGACTTATTTGACCCAAAATGCCAAAAGGGCTGAGGTGAAGAAACCCTGGAATAGCACTGTATTTCCTGCATTTGGGCCCTTCCCGCCTCTCCCATTTACTAGTTGTGTGACTTGCCACAAGTTACTTAACCTCTCTGTGATCTTCTTAAGCCCAGGGACTTTTCCTGCTACCAAAGGACAGAAGGAAAAAAAAAAAAATGAAAGGCAACTTGGAAGTCTGTTCCTATAATTTGTAACCAGAATATCCTTCAAGAGCCTGTGCATTAAAGGCTTGGTCCCCAGCCTTAGCTATGAAAGCCTTAACCAAATCAGTGAATTAAGGTGGGTAGGGTGTGGCTGAAGGAGGTGGGTCATTGGGAGCATGCCCTTGGGGTATATTGTATCTAGCAAGTGGAATCTCTCGGCTTTCTCATCATCATATGAACCAGGTCCTTCCACCACACTCTTACTCTTAATGCCATGATGTTCAGCCTCACCTGGAGCCCTAAGAAGTTCAGTCAGCTTTCTATGGACTGAAACCTCTGAGACCGTGAGCCCCCAAATAAATTTTTCCTCTTCTAAAATTGTTCTTATCAGGTCTTTTAGCCAGAGCAGTGAAAAAGCTGACTAAAACAGCCATAAACTTACAGAAGAGACAGGGCGGTGGACACATGTTTATCTGCTGAGCATTCTATTCTTTGGGGAGAAAAAAGTTCTGATCCTATAAAAGCTCTCCTTGAGCCTCGTTCACCCCCAGAGGCATGTGACTCAAGTGTGCCCCTTCAGAATATCCCATTCTTCTGGCCACATGCCAGGAATGGCCCTGTGAACCAGCTGGGGCAATCCACTCTTCCCTGGGTGTTCTCTGGAATCCAGGCTCTGAAGACTATCAGAGCATCACAGAAGAGGTTCTTGTGACCATGTGGGCAGAGCCAGTGTGACACAGAAGCCAGAGAGGAGAGGCAGGGTGAGTCAAAGACCTTGGTGACATTGTCTGAGTCCTAGGAGCCAGTCCTGCCGGAAGCCACTTCAACCCTTGGACTTGCAGGTTACAGAAGGCAACAAATGCTTTTCCTTAAGTTGGATAAATTTACATTTCTATCACTCACAATCAAAAGAGTTTAAATAAGATAAACAAAATCATTGTAAATAAAAGAAAAATCGCCCATACCCCCACAGCCCATAGGAACCACAGTGACCTTGGAGTAACCTTGGAGGTCCTTCCAGGTAATCACTGGCTATGTTTTTGGGATGGGGAGTCATTAGGATGATTTTTATTTTTATTTTTTGTAGTTGTAGATGGACAGAATACCTTTATGTTATTTGTTTATTTTTAAGGATCAAACCCAGGGCCTCACACATGCTAGACAAATGCTCTGCCAGTGAGCTACAGCCCCAGTCCCATGGGTGATGATTTTTAAAACAACAGAATTTTAAGCCAGATTCTCTTGAGCTAGAATCTTGATTCTGTCCCTTCTTTGTGTGGCTTTGAGAAAGTGACCCAACCTAACATATGAGACATACATAAGTGAGTGATCACGTTGCAGATTTTATTTATCATAGTATTGAAGACTGAATCCATGGACACTATACCATTAAGCAACATCTCCAGGCCTTTTTATTTTTAGGCGGGGGTCTCACTAAGTTGCTGAGGCTGGCTTGAACTTTCTATCCTCCTGCCTCAGCTTCCCAAATTGCTGGGATTACAGGCATAAGCCACTGTGCCAGAAGCACCTTCTCATTTAAAAGAGAAAAACTCAGAGAATAGCTATCTAGTGGATGAGTTTTAAAAAGAATAAAAGCCTGAGGTTCCTGGGCCCTCCATTCTTTATTACTCCAAAATGATGGGCTCCAAGCAAATTATGAAGAGATGGGAAACTGGGATGGACCAATCAAAATGTTTTTCATGACCTTTTTTTTTTTCTCTTGATTTGTGAGTGAGTTAGAAATCAAATATTCAGATTTAAAACAAAACAAAGCAAAATTAATAAAGGAGTTCTCCTAGGTACATCTGGATCAGTCATGAGAGATATTAAGAATAGTATTTACTTGATTAGTTACCAAAGGTCATGAAACATCTTTTTAGATGACAGCAGATTATTCAAAAAAAAAAATTTTTTTTTATTTTGCCACCAGGGATCAGATCCAGAGGCACTTAAACACTGAGCCACATCCCTAGCCGGTTTTTTTTAATTTTTATTTGAGACAGGGTCTCCCTAAATTGCTTAGGGACTCAATAAATTGCTGAGGCTGTCTTGAACTTGAGATCCTCCTGCCTCAGCCTTCCAAACAACTGCAATTATAGGCGTGTGCATTCAATAATATTGTTACAATACCTTTGCTTACTCATGATATAATTTCACTCACTTTTACTCTCTTAAGTGGAAAATAAAGGGATAGCTCTAAAGCATAAGCCATTATTGATCTTGATTTAGCAAACTCCATAAAGAACATAACTGATGTATCAATTAAATGTGGCTATTACAAATTAGTGGAATGCTTTCCTCCTCCTCCCAAAGGTCTGAGGTTTCCTCGAAACTGCAAATGCTAAATGCACATGTGTAAAAAATTATCCTTCCTGCTTCTTGAGAAAAAAAGATTAGGAATCGCTGCCCCGTGAGATATGTAACTGAGAAAGCAATGGTGGAACTGAAATGGCAAATCATGGCGCTCAGCCTCGGAGGGCCAGATGAATGCAAAGAATATAGACCAAAAACACATTCTTTTCATTTTCAAATTACGATTCAAAGTGAAACCTTACACATTACCTCACGGGGATGAGGAAGGATGAGACATACTGCAAGGGGAAGAAACAAGAGCTCAAAGAAGGAAGCAGAGAACAGCACTGTGTGTACAGTAGGCAGAACACACAGGAATCCACGTTGAATAAACATTCATAGGAGAAAGGAGAAAGGAGGAGGAGAAAAGAGGAGGAGGGGGA